GGGTTTTAACTGTTTTTAACTGGAAGAAGCTTGACATTGTTGTGCCAAAAGCAGAGAAATAGCTTCAGAAAAATAGTAGAGCAAAAACCCATGCTTTCAGATAAAGGCATAAGTGGCACCTTTGAACCTGCCTTTGTACCACCTCTAACTCATGACAGAAGAAGTTGGAAGATCTTTGGTAGGGAACCTGTTCTAACCAAGAATTATCAGAAAACAATTATTGCATTTCTCTAAGAACTAAGCATGAGGGCAGAGGTGGCTAGGCAGGGTAGGTTAAAAACAGAAATGGACACTCTCAACTTTTCAGACAAGGCAGATATTTAAATATTTATCAAATAAAATGATAATAATAGTAATGATTATGATTATAATAATAATATTTTTCTGTTTTTACTTCTTTCTAGAACCTCTGGGAGGAAAGACAGGCTCTCCTGTACCTTTTGACATTTCTGTTTATGTGTCTTTATTTTTCTTTGTTTGCTTCTTTCAATCTTAGCAAAATAACAAAACAAACAAAAAGCAGACTCATGCTATTACTTACTGATTGATCGTTAATGCATTACATTAAACTATTTAGGTACCAGTATTATAAAAACACTGAATTCAGTACTTCATAAAAGTAAATACATACCTGGTGTTTGAGAAGTGTTTAATGCAGGGTAGTGTGGGCATTGTGGGGTAGAAGGACAGAGTGTGGCTTTCCATTTCCCTAGTGGCCCAAATATAAGTATATGCAAAACATGGCCCACACATTTTCACAAGACACAACAGAACAGGAGTTTTGTATTTTTTACTTTCATTTTATCTACTAACTATCTATCCTAATATAAAGATCTAGATAAACCTAATTATATAAAAACCATCTAGCGTGGAGCCAACAGGTTACATGGTGGTTTAGGCACTGGACTCCCACATGTTAGACTGTGGTTTGAGTCCTGGACCTGGTGGCTTGCTTTCTCACTTTTCCCTTTTCTCTCTCTGTCTCTCTCTGGTAAGCACACATGCCCCATACCAAGATAAAATAATAAGAGTAATAATAATAATAATAATAATAAATATTTTAAAAATCTAGCTTGATTGTAAAAAGGGCTATGCTTTCAAAGTCATACTTTTTACATCAACATTTCATGACCCCTTACTTTAAATTCACTTAGAATACGTTCAACAAATGGAAGGCATGGTTTCTTCCATAACTAATATAAAACCTCAAAAAGATTTTCCCAGAAACTTGGCCATCATTAGAATTATTCAAAGACTGAAAACTTCTCTTGAAAGGAGTTCCCAACTGCTTATTTTCTATGTAAACAAATTGCATGTCCTGAAGGTATGACTTGAGTATATAAAATATTAAAATGTTGATACCTGATAGATTCTAAGGGAAATTTAAATTTATAGCAAGAACTTCTTGAAGCAGGGGAAGACCCGTAAGCTTCAATGAGTCTTACATTTAAAATAAGAGAATGTAAGACAAATTAGCCTAGAGGATACTGTGGGCTTGGAATGTATGCCCAGTGTCACCATGGCTGTAGTACTGGATATTCCTTCGCTATTTTAGAGTTGTGGATAATGAGAGCTGTATCTACCAAGCAAGCCATGCAAATACAATTAATTTGAATGGAAAGTGAAAAAAGAGGTAAAGAAGAAGATGAATGGAATATGGATTTGTGATGATAGCATGTCACTATCTGTCCCTTACTGAGTCCATTTAGTACAACAATGATCATGCCAGGTGTTTTATGTGCATTGCCTTATTTAATTTTTGAAATAAAACTCTGATGTAGTTTCTATTTTTATTTCTAAAAAGCAACAGCTATCAGGAGCCCAGGTGAAGATAGGTGTGCTCAGTCTCAAAGTTGTCTAGGGGACCAGCAGTTGTTGTAATGGCTATGTTGCTGGACTCCCATGTAGTCGACCACGATTCGAGTCCCAGACCCGGTGGCTTAAACTCACGCCGGGTGCGTGTGCATGAGTGCCCAAGATCCCGAGAGGAGAATGGAGGAGAAGGGATTGCAGCATGGCCATCACCCCTGGGGGGTGATTTCTCATTTTCTATCTCTCTGTCTCTGTCTGTCTGGTGAGCACACGCACCCTATAGCAAAAAAAAAAAAAAAAAAAATCTCTTCAAAAAAAAAAAAAGAAGAAGAAGAAAGTTATCTATACTGTTTTGTAGCCATAGAAGCAGGCAGCTCTAGGGACAGGGAAGTTCCAAGTGAAGAGTTGCAGGTGGCGAGAGAATTGAAAATGAGTCTTCAATCATCCTGAGGTGTGGTGCTTAAGGCTGGGTCCCACATGGCCGACTTTATGTTTGCATCTTGAACCTTGGGGCTTGAAAAAAATTCCCAGTGCATGTGCTATTGTGCCCAAAATCCTGAGAGGAAAATAGAGGATAAGGGATTGTGGTGTGACCATCTGTGTGCTTTCTCACTTTTCCTTTCTCTCTTCTCTTTCTCTGTCTCTCTCCAGCGAGCACACATGCCTTATAGTAAATAGGAGGAAAAATGGGTCTTCAAAAATATAAGGCATAGAATTCTGTTTTCTATGTAAGCAAAGTTGGAAAGTGCCAGACAGGTTGTCCGACTTCCAGCCAAGGAAGATCTCATTCAGAGTCTTTCACCCAGACATCCAGAACAGGACACAGAAAACTGAAGAAAGAAGCTTGGTAGAAGAAATCCTCATCATGATCAGGTTTATGGGTTGGCTATAACTCCTGAAGCTCATGATACTCAGGAAGTCACACAGTTGATCCAAGTCTCACCTGCGGTTGTACCCTAATATCATCTCACTCTACCTAAGTGCTTGACAACAACTGTAAAGGAGGTATTATTGCTTTACAGTCATCATCATCATTATCAGTCTTAACCAATCAGGCAATTATGGCTTATAGAAGTTGGCCACTTGCCCAAGGTCACTAATAAGAGGCTAGAGTTGTGATCTGACCTCAAGTTGTCTGATACTAGAGAAAGTTCTCTTACCAAACTACTGGCTTACCCAAGTAAAAACATCAGGCTCTATATACACTCTGTAAGTCACTATCTGTAAAGCATCTGTCATATTCCAGTCACTGTTCTGGTTGATATGAATTGGGTGCTCAATAAATATTGATTCATTAAATGAGTGAGTGAATGAATGAATGTACTGTTATATTTGCTGATGCTTAACTGAGAAGACATTAATATGATGTTATGGCGTTTTAGATAAACTATTCTTCTAGAGACCACCAGTGTAAGATCATATCCTTGGAGTAGAAGCAGAATTCCCCTCAGGAAGTTTGTCAATGTTGGCAATGTTCTATCAATTGCCCTAACTCAGGCTCTGTCTTGAATTAGAGCATGATGGATAGTGAGGCAGCATTTTGCCGGAAGAAAAACAGAACTCCTTCCTTTATTCCAGCCCCTTGGTTGTTAGGTCTAGACATGGTAGCAGAGACGCTCATAACGCTTGAAGCATTAAAAAGAATTGTTCCTGACACATAGCTGTGGATCCTATGGATAGGTATCCACCTCTGGGCTCCATGAGTCTTTGCATTCTGTTTTTCTGCATAAACCATTTTTAGGACTTGACTTCCATTCCATTATTATTGAACATTAAGTAAAATCTTATTAAAGGTAACAACCTACTCTTAGCTATGTTGAAAGTGGATCAATTTATTTTCCAGGAAGAAACAAACAACAAAAACAAAAACAAGACATCCCTCATAGGCAAGAATAGAGGTTGCAATGTTTCCTTAGTTCTCAGTGGAATGAAGATCTCATTGAGAAGCACAGAGGAGGGCAATGTCACAACTCTCTTATGAGCATGTGAGGACAGAGAGAACTAGTGAATTATTTCTAAGTATACATGACCAGCACTCAATAGGACCCATATATTGAACTGGCAAGCATGTGTTGAGAGGTGGGAAGTTTAGGGCTAGGAGAGTTGAGTGAACTTAATCTCGTAGAAGTATGTTTTCATTTAGTTTGAGGGACACTTGCTGATGTATATGGAGCAATCACAATCTCATGAATTTAATAGTTTTTATCTGAACACTCAGACATAAGCTCTGGTAGGCAAAAGACCCAGACTCTCACCAGGGAATGGCCAGGTTAGGTCAGTGGGTCTCCATTGCTCTCTTTGGAGCTTGTGCTAATGATGTAATGATAGCCCCATGTGTGCCACATGCCCACTGGAAGCTATAGCCTTAGGCTGCTTTCTCATTTTGACACCAACCAAACTCAATGCTTTAGTTTACATTAAATAGGCATATAGGAATCCAAAGAAGGTATAAAGCTCTTACAAGGGTAATCTTAATTCCTTCTCATTTGTATGTGAAAGAGGTGTTTACAAACTATAAAAAATGTGACACACTCACAATGATACTGAGCAAAATGATCTGTAAAATATTTTCCTGGCCTATTAATCCATTTCTGCACTATTTCAGATCAATTGATATGGAAATTCATCCACAGAGGGAAGCAGTAAGAAGGGTGGAAAAAAGAGTGAGAAATTGGTCATGAATATGTGAATTCACCAGTTACTGGGAGTGGGAAAGAAAGCAAGGACAAGCCAGAAAGTGGTGCTGCAGAACCAGTGAACAGAGCTGGATGTCACAGGAATAATCTGCTGAAGGAAGAACCAGTCAACAGATCTTGCATCTCCTTTGCCCAGGCCACCATTTGCATACCTTAGAAATCTGTATTGGGGAGAACAGGACATGAACTTTTTCTAAACTCTGCTAAAGCTCAGCGCAGGCCACCAGAAGCATTAATGACTTTTCCCCAGTGCAGTGGTTCTTCTTGAGAAGTCAAAATGGAAATCAAAACTGTGAAAACATAGTTCAAATGCACATTTTTTAGTGTCTATTTAAATTAGGAGTCAGGGAGCCTCATCGTCCTTAGTTCAGGATCTTTAATGTGCTGTGGACAGATTCAGCATCAGGATGTTGGGGGGTGCCTGTGATCTGACCCAAACACTCCATTATTTTTTCTTCCTTATTATTTTGTCTCCCTGTACCCCAGGAAGTCAGGGGAGCAGCTTTCCTCACTGAGGAAGAAAAATGGAAGCACACAACTCACAGGTACTCACTCTCTGCCAAATGGATAGCGAATGAGGAAAGACTCAAACTCAGTCTCCAGGGGGTGACCACGCTCCAGTGCAGTCTCATTTTCAGTGCTGGCCACAAGAGTAAAAGGATACCTGAGGTTGCTTCATGTCTCCTAAGCATATAACCTGGGCCAGTCTCCCTGGGGTGGAACATCTTAAACGGAATTCATGCGTTTCGGTGGGGTCGGGAGATTTTCACAGGGAAGTGTGACTTTCACTTCTGACAAGCAACGACATTGCTTGATCAGCACGTAATTCTTAGGAAAAAAACATTTGGCTGAGCTAAATGGAAAAGCATCAGGCACAGACAGATTAAATTTTCCTTTAAATAAACATGGCCTTTCAAAAAGGCAAGAAAAACGTTTAGAGCAAAACATGCCAGGCATGAAAATTTCAGATGAAATATCTACCCACCCTGAGCAAGAACGAGAAGCACTACTTTCTTAAACTGATGAGAGTGGTGTAAATGTGTTTGTGCTTACAGGCAGAAGTGTGGCCATCAAATGCCAAATTCTGGACTGCTCAGGACTCTGAGTGTCCATATGCAGTGATTACTTAATTAAATGACTAGTATTTGGGATACATGATGTTTGTCGAGCCTTCTACTTTACGACGGCAGAGAAGCTACTCCCCCTAAAAACAACAGCCATTTCTTCCTATTAAATGCAAAGGCTATGTTTAAATTCATTTATATTGCATCATAAAATAGTGTTGATCATTTTGCTTCTTAAAACTTCATAATACTCTTTAAAGATTTTCTCGCAAGAATGTCTCCACCATTGTCTTTCTGTTCCCATTACGTGTCTTTGTTTTTCTGTCCAAACCTAGTTCTTTCCATCTCAGTGGTCCAAATGAAACAGCCAAGAAGAACCTTTATTTTTCATTTCCATTGCTAATAATAATCAAATTTAAACAAGTTTCCATTTTATTGAAAATGTAAAATGCATATATATATATATATATACATGATGCATATATTGGTTCAATAATTGTTTGTTAAATAACAAATTATTATGTGTTAGCCATGTATCTGTATATTAGAGATACTGGAGTGAAAAAGATGATGTTCTCTTGGAGTTTCCTCTGAGACAAATGGTAAATAAGCAAGATGATAGCACATGTAGGTATCTTACAAAGATAATAAAATAAGGTATGATAAAGAGTGATTTGCTTTTTCTATTCACACAGAGTGACATTTAAGTTGAGACTTAGGTGATGTGAAGACAAACTACAAAATATCTGTTGAAAACTAGTCTAAGCTAGAGAAACAGCAGGTATAAAGGCCTTGGAAATGAGGAATAGTCCATATACTTAAGATGGACCAAAGGGGTTTTGGCTGTAACATCGAAGGACAGTGGTTTCAAAGCCTAACCTTATGAGAATAGAGTCTAGCAGATTGTTACAAAAAGAGTTTTGATTAATTTTAACAGCAAAGGAAAGTTATTTAGGAGTCTGGGAAGTACGGTAACATAAATATTCATTATATTTTAAAGTGTATACAAAATGAACCATAAACATGATGGTGGATTGGATTGGGTAATCACTGTGGAGAGGAGTTACATTCTCTAAATATTAGGAAGTTCCAGTAGACACAACTTGTTGATTAATTAGATATGTAAAGTGAGGCAAATTGAGAAATTGGGGATGAGGTCTAGGCTTCTGAACTGAATAGCAGACAGCCAGGGGGACCATTTACCCTACTCCCTCATTGTCATCCTTTTCCTAGATCTCTTCATGGTCTGGTATCTTGTTCACCAAACTGAAGCCCTGATCTTTTAAAATCCATCATCTATGCAGCTGCCAGGGTGAATCATAGAGAAAACCACATGCTCTTATACCTTCCAATTACTCCCTTTTATTCAGACATGGCAAGCTTCTTCACACAATGATCCATGATGCGGTAGGCAGAATTCTAAGATAGGTCTCAAACATCTATGCCTGTTGCACTGGGCCTATATGAGTCCCTCCATTTGAATGTGCCTATAAATAGGATGGATATTATTCCTGTAATTAAGTTATGCTATATGCCAATGGGAGAGTGTGTGGTTGGGCCTGACTTAATTGGGTGAACGTTCTTAAAAAAGAACTGTTTTTTACTGATGTCAGAGACTTCTGACCTTGAAAAAGTAAGCCATCAAAAATTTTAGAGCTCGCAGAAAGTGAATTCTGCAAATGACCATGTAAGCTTGTCAGAGAACCCCAAAACTCAGATGAGACACAGTCCCATAAGACACCTTAATTATAGCCTTGTAAAACTATAAGTTGAGTTGCCAAGTAAACATACCTGGATTCTTGACTTGTAGAAATTTTAAGAAAATTCATATTATGTCGTTCCAAGTCACTGAGTTTGTGGTGATTTGTTATAGCAACTATTGGAAACTAATGCAATGGCCTTTTATGTCTGGACTCTCTTGACTTCGAATCTTATCGGTCATCTTAACTAGATTCAAACTTTCTATTACAACAGCTATAAGTGTTGTATCTAGCTATCTTTTATTCCCTTTAGTAATATTGACCTCTCTTTTCAGAAATTTCTTTACCATTTCATCTCTACCTAGAAATGCCATTTGAGACAGCTCAGTTCATGGTTCATCTTCATATATTTATTTATTCTTTCAACATGTATTTATTGTGCATATGCTTTGCAGCAGAGGAGTTAGAGTAATAAAGAGACTCTGCTTTTATTTGCATTATATTCCAATGGAAGAGAAAAATTTTTAAACAAATAAATGTTTAAATTTTAATTAGAATAATAGAAAGATCATTCAAAATAATAGTAATAGCTTCTTCACAAAGCCTTTGAGATTGATCTCTACTTGTTCCACCATTTTCATCTGCTTTCTGTATATTGCAAATAAACTCATGGTAGGAATGGCCTTTTATTCATCTCTATGTACCATGTATCTAGATCACTTTGCATTTGCACAGTGATGCCCATTAAAAAAGGTGAATGTAGAATCTGTCAGTTTCTGTGGGCCACTAGGAAAGCCAGAGGAAAATATTTCAAAACCAAAGTAAAACCAAACACCTCAGCTTCATCAGTTCTTGAATCAAGGAGGATCTGGATTGAGGATTTAATATCCAATAGAGTGGGGCTTTAATTAGCCAGCTGCTCTAAGCATATTTTACAACATCCCTGAACACGTGTTCAGTGTGACCCAGTGGTTTCCCAGATTCCCAGAATGAGTCATAAATCTGTCTTACTTGACTTCAGATTGTGTATTTTCTAGTTTCTTGTTAGTCTATTTCAGCTCTCTGGGGTTTACTCATCACCTAGTTACTTCTAATTCCATTCTCCACTTGTAATTTCAATTGCATAGATTCCTATTACAATAGGTTATTGTCAATTTTGAGGCCCTTTCAGCAATTTTGACTACTCTTCTTAAGTTGAAATATACATTTCCTCTGTTTTGATTCTTGGTGGGTGACAGGTACCAATTCTCCAGCTCCTTTGTGCCTGGAGTACACTCTCATGGCCCAAGTTCTACCGATCAGACTCAAAGGCTGGATTTTGAATTGCAAGAGAATGATTTAAAGAAGCAGATGCCATGGAGAGTCCTTTTGGGAGATAATAATAGTAGCTATATCCAATTTTCGTGGATAGCAGTAGCTAAGATTTTAGCAGAGCATCCAGGTCTGGCATCAACAAAGTCTGCAAGACACGTAAGACAAGAACTATTAGGTTCTTGTCGCTGGAATCAGTTATGCAATATATAGTTCAGTGTTTGTCTGGTCTGTATGGTCTGGAGATGATGTGAGCTACTAACATAATCAATTGGCATCCATGTGTTTGGTCTCTACCATCACCCACTATTTACCTGGCCATCGCCTCTACTTCCTGCCATACACATGCACATACGGACACACATATGAGTGTACACACACAGAGGGCAGGTGCTTAGAATTTGAGTGAAGGTCTAAAGAGTGTTAGCATTTATCCAGTTCCTTTGGGTTGAATTATTTCATTCATCTTATCCACTCTTCTGTTGGTCTCCTTCAGCTTCTAACCCAAACAATTGTGTTCCTTCCTCAATATGCTTAATAGTTAAGGCCTTGCTGGTTGAATAGTATTATCCTACAAATATCTCAAATGGAGAACTAAGGAGATAACTCTGGACAGTGGTTTCTCTTGAGGAACAGTTAAAAATTTGTCTATTGCCACATGTTTCTCCAGAAATCTCACTCACTGTGGTGGCTTCATTAGCAACTACTGAACAAATCTGCTACCAAGGAAACTACATTCTTTTTGATACCCAATGCCAGAGCCTAATCAAAAATTGTAGCAGATAATAAAGACAGTGTGAAAGGAGGGTGGGAAATGGGAGAGAGTAAGAGAGAGGGAATCAAGGGGAAAAAGAAAGAAACAAAACATTTAAGGAATACAAAATGGAAAATTATCTGTTGGTGTTAAAATGCATGGTGATATTTTTGACTGAACCAAAATAAAAGTGTATTCATGAAGAGAAAATTCATTTGTATGCTGGAATGATACACAATGATTGAATGTAAAAAATAAAGAAAATAGAAAAAAATTTGAAGCAGAAAGGAAGTTCTAAAACAGCTATTTTTTTCCTACACCATAATCTTAGCATGCTCATTATATTGGTAGGTGAGTTTATTCATACAATAACCTACATGAATGGGAGGCACCAAGCAGAATAAGATGGAGGTGGAGTCTATTAGTGTAAATAATATTGAGTCTTACTATTTTTGAAAAAAAAAAAAAAAAGATAAGCCTGTCGTCAACAGGATGACTGAGTACCTGACAGACACAGAACTCCATGCAAATGGGGAAATAGTACACTCTGAGAATCTCTGAAAGCACCAGGATTCATTGCCCAACAGCCATACTACTATATTAAACAAACTTCTCAATGTTTCCAGGGTTTTTTTTTTTTTTTTTTTACCCCCCACTCCCCACCCCCCCGCCACAAGGGGGAGCGCAATGCTGCAATCTCTTCTCCTCCATTCTTCTCTTGGGATCTTGGGCACGCATGAGTGTGAGTTCAAGCCACCGGGTCCAGGACTCAAACCGTGGTCGACTACATGGGAGTCCAGCGACACAGCCATTACACCAACTGCTGGTCCCTCCAGATCTTTTTAACATTATTATCATCACCTGTCTTTGAATTTTGCACACTCACACAAATTAATTCAAGACTTCAAGTGAAATGATGAAACTTGTTACTTAGTTCAGTTATCAAACTAAGTTTATCTCTCCTGGTAGTTTCATGGCTGAGGGAAACAGTGAGGTGTGAAAAGGCCAGTTCTTGCATTTGGAGTTAAATCTGAACTAGTGTTGGTTCTGCCAAATTTCAACTCTGGGACTTGGGGCAAGTCACTCCCCAAGCTTGAATATCTTTCTTGTAAAATAAGAATCTCAGTCCACACCCGGTGAGGGATGTGAGGATATGTCTAGCGCATACACATTTGTCATGGTCTGTCAATCATTGTTTGCAGAATCTATTGTTGCAGAATTTATGGCCAGCCCTATTATGAAGTATTGAGTTCTAGAAACCAATTGCGTGGAAGAGAGACAGCATTAGGAATATATTAACTGAATGACTCCCTTTCTTACTTCTCTCTTCAGCCATGGCAGACATGATACTGTCAGCATCTGTGTCCCCACATAAACAGCTGTCTATATGAAACAAGGCAGGAGGCTCATATTAAATAATGAAGATAGAATACATTAATTACACCATGGTAAGTAACTATCATATAAAATATGACCATTATATTATTGTTATTACTTTTACTACATTATTCATGCTGACATAAATATAACAGCCCACTAGTCATCAGTGTCATACTGTTTTTATAGAGAAGGAAAATGGAGCTCAAAGCATTTAATGGCCTAATGGCCAAACCTCTAAAACACAAGAATAATGGTTGGCAATGCATGAAAAGAGGTCAGCAGGTTTGCCAATAGGACAGCTTAATGACTGAGCTCAGCTCCATTTTAATTTTGACTTCCTATCCCACAGATGCCTTCCTAGCCTGTCAGCTTGTAACTGGGCAGAACAGGTTGCAACATATGGAAGAAAGAATACAGGGGCCCATGATAGGTTACCCTGGCCCAGAATATCAAATATGGCATTCCAATTGCACCATTGGAGCTTCATTTGTTTGATTCTTGAAAACAAGGTTTAACTCTGTATTAACCCTTCACATGCCAAACCTCTGAGTTCAGTGAAGAGCAATTTAGCCAACAATATTTCATAAGAAGGAGGTAAGATAGTTCCTGGTTTTATATCAATATAAAATGCAGAAAACACAGAGACACTTTCCAGACACAATTTCTGGAGTCAATTTTAGGCTTATTGAATTGAAATCCTTACTCTTTTAAGTGAGGTATACTACCCTTTGTTAGGTCCAAGTGTACATAGGAGAATGAGTTTATAAAGAGAAAGGAAAAAAATGTGTAAGGCAAAGACAAGTATTTTGAATTCATAATTCCCCAAGGCCTTCCTTATAGATTTACCGAACTGGATGGGCTTGTTGCCTAGTTGTCTATTCACTCTCCCTTCACATCCCTGGCATGAGAACGACAAGAAAAGTTAAAAACAAAAGCAAAAACAAAACCCCCCAAAGCATAAACCTTTTAAAAATATCAGGAAGGGATTAAAATTCACCCCAATAAGAACTTAGAAAATGCACAGTACAATGTATAAAAATATCTAGATGGGGCTGAATTTTTGACCCTGTGGATGATGATTCTAACCTTATTTGTATATGGAACAAGATCACTGTGTACAAAGTGGAGACTGGGTACATTATTTTCAGATTTTCCTAATACTTTTACTAATACAGGTCTTTGTACCTCCTCCCACAACAAATAAAGTCACCATTATTTTGTCTTGGTGCCCATCTCTGTTAAATTTTCAACTTCTCTGAAAAGTTCAGAAGTCACAGTGAAAGTCTTGAACAGAATTCTCACTAGGTGCCCAGAAAAACAGACCTCATACTGGTGACTCAACTAAAGATTTTTCTGATCAGGTGAATTGATACAGGAAAAATCCTTTGTAGCAAAGGACTATTAGGTGTAAAACATTATTATCACATTATTATCACATTTTGGATGGGGAAATTCATTTGGTATGCAATAATGATGCACAGTGCTTAAATGTATAAAAATTATTTAAAAATTAGGGCCGGCAGGTGGCACAGTGGTTGGGGTGCTGGATTCCCACATGGCTGACCACAGGTTAAGTCCCAGACTTGGTGGCTTGCTTTCTCACTTTCCCTTTCTCTCTTTCTTTGGTTAAATTAAAAAAAAAGAATAATAATAACAACAAATAAAAGAAATAATCCTTTAAAAAATGTTTAAGAAATCAAAAACCCAGAACATGGTGATCACTGGCCTATCCAGCAACCTATTTACCCAATAAAACTCAAATTCCATTAAAAATAATAAAAAAGACAGGAGCTGCAGGTTGATCTTACCATGCTTATTTTTGATTTAGAAACATCCATTGATGTTTTATTTCACCATAACTACAAAAAATTCACAGACAGCATTAATATTTTCTAGTTTTCTTTAAACTTATCCTTTAAAATACTACAGTCATGAACTGCATACTATTTCTATCAACCAGGGATCACTTACACTATGGTGAGTTCAGAAGAAGCAAAGGCTCTCCCACACAACCAAGGTATGCAGTGGGCTCCATCCAGGTTTGTGTAAGTACACTCTATGATGCTCCACATTTCTCAGAACAAATCTGTCATTAAGTGATGTATGACTATACTTACATTACTAAGGATTCTTATCGAACTTATTATGGATGATGTTAAGAATAGGGAAAAAACGAAAGGACAGTATCTTGAACTTCTGAGTACTCATGAACCAGTTTTAACAATTTCCAACATGTAACCAAGTTTATTTCCATCCCCTGCCGCTCAACACACACTGAATTTATTAAAGAAAAGCTCAAATATTATGTCATTATACAATGTGTATTACATTATTGCATCCTTAAATATATCAATATATGTCTTTAAAATGTAAGGACCCTTTCTCCATATGTTTTTAACATAGCCATAGTAGATGACAACATTTCAAATGAGCCCTTAGAAAATAATTTCTTATTGGGGAAATACCTTGATTAAGAGTTCAGTGACTAGCCAGTGCACTTAGAATAAAATCTCAGCTTTAAAATCACAATCCTCCCATTGTCTGTATACATTTGTTCACACTATTTAATCCATCATGCTGCCAGGCCTCCTGCTGCCTTTCTGTCTTGACCCTATTTTGCAAGGACTTGTCCACTCTAACCTCTTGAGTTCTACATGTCATTGGAGCTTCCAGTGATTATGTTTTAAGTCCTTGTTGCATCTATGCTACTTTTAGAAGCTTTTATTACAGGAATTAAAAGCATGTGCTTTGGAGTCTTACAAAGCTGGGTCTGGGAATTTTTCATGACTTAGTTTTTAGTTAAATGTTCTTGGAAAGGTCTTCTTTAACCCTCACATCTTTTAAGTATTTGTATTTTTTATGTTTAATTTGTATCATTACATAGATTAAGTACACATATGTGTGTGTATATAATATATGTGTAAATATAATAAACATTTATATGTGTAATACATATGCACACACATGTATTCACACAGAGAACAATCATGTTATTATTATTGCTGTTGTTACAACCTGTATTCCATATTATATTCTACTTTGTGATACCTGTTATTTTTCATTACTTAACTCTCACATTGTTAGTTATCTTCCAGCTTACTTCTAGACATCAACTTCTTGAGCTAGAGTGTCTGACTTTCCCATAGTGACTGACTTCATAAGGCAATTTCACGAAGACATTTCTGGAAGACAGCTGTCCATTGTGCTGATAGGTAGAGATAGCCAGGAGTTTGCCCTCTCTCCATATGCCCTAGGATGCTATGTTAATTGGAGAGCCTCTCTCCTCTATTCAAGCTCCCTATAAGGCTTGCTGATTGTGTGTGTGTGTGTGTGTGTGTGTGTGTGTGTGTGTGGTATAGAACACTTTAAAATGAATTTGTAGATTTCTCCCAGAAGGGAAAATCTTTTATGAAGAAAAACAGGTGATGGGACAACTGGAAAAAACAGTCTTTTCTAACTGAAGTGAGTTTCCAGACAGCTGATCCTACCAAAGGGCTGGCTGTCTTTATTCTGGAAATGTCATCCTTCTTTAGTCTGTAAATATCATGCTATAGAACACCTTAGCACTGGCTTTAGGAATAGATGGAGCCTAGGATGCACAGGCAGTTTACTGTCAACCAAAGGACAATACTTTTTTTCTCGGATTTAATAAAAAAGGGAGTTGGCTGTGGAGGTTGCTCTGCAGGAAGGACATGCAATATCCCTTCTGCCATCACACTGTGGCTCCTTGAATAAAATGATGAAAGAGTGACTTTGTCTTCCAAACGCCAGCCTTAGTTGAGTACATTCACTTTTTCCCTATCAAACGTGTGAATTCTTGGAATATGTCTGTGGTCTCCCTTTTAAATCTATACTCATAAGGTCTGTCAAGCACTATGCAGGCCCTTTTACCTTGTAATAAATCCCAAGTCCAGGCAATATCCTCTATTTGAGCTTTTCGTGGTCTAAGACTCCACTGAGTAAAGATGTAGTTCAGGTAACTAAAACTTTGTAAAAAATAAATTTCCCCATAAATGTAAAGATTATCTTTCTTGCTGTGAAGCATTCCTTACTGTGAATTACATAATCAGATTTCTCTGCATTTATTACCTAGCTGAGAGCAGAAAATGACAATTTCTTTGTGAAGGGGGAAGCAATTTTTGATATGTGGATCAATTCTAGTGAGAAGAGGGCTGATATGTTAGAATTTGTGTAGCTAAGACAGTAGAGAAAGCAGCTAGTGGTTGTGGGTGGAGGGACCATTTAGGAGGGAATAAAGAGCATAGCAGATGATCGGAGGGAATCAGAGAAAGAAGTGGAAAATATGAAGGATAAACTTCATCCACTTGGAAATTTTGCTGTTACAGCACATACAGAGGCATCTAGAAAGTGGTGGTTTGGAGTTCAGAATCTGGAGACAAACGACCTGTGAACTAATCCTTGCCGCCCTACTTACCAGCTCTGTGACTTTGAACAATTTGCTTAGCTTCCTTAAGCTTCAGTTTCCTTATCTGTAAAATAAGGATGAAAAACTGTTCATAGGTCACAAGGCTACACTGAGGATTAAAAGAGATAATACATGTTAAACATTTAGCATCGTGTCTGGCCGCATTACATACCCATGAAATGCACAGTATCATTAAATGTATTTTTTCTAAAAGTAAAAAAATCATGATTTCTATCAGAAATTCTTCTGACTTATAAACTATTCATAATATGAGATCTTATCATCCAAGGTTCCCTTTTGAGGGCCAAGAGTAAAAAAATCTAATGCTTAATTTAAAACTTTGCACTTATTTTGATGAATTTCCCTAGGCTAACAAGTAATGGAACATTCAATACTTTATAGAAACTGTTGTAAGTCTTTACATACGTTCACATATTCAATCTTTGTCCTTTTTTTTGGAGAGATTTTCACTATAGGGCGCGTGCGCTCGCCAGACAGACAGAGAGAGACATAGAGACAGAAAGCGAGAAATCGCCCCCCAGGGAGGATGGTCACGCTGCAATCCCTTCTCCTCCATTCTCCTCTCAGGATCCTGGGCATGCACGCACACGCACCCGGCGTGAGTTTTAAGCCACCGGGTCCGGGACTCGAACCGCGGTCAACTACGTGGGAGTCCAGCGACATAGCCATTAAGCTAACTGCTGGTTCCTCATATTCAATCTTTGTAATAGCCCATTTCGCAGGTGAGGAATTCAAGGCACAGAAAGTCCAAACGACTTGGCCTCTCAGTTATTGTGGTATAACCACTGTTGGACTTCAGGTCATGTGATTCCCAGGGCCTGTTTTCTTAGGCTATAAGGCCTAGAGAGATGAGTGACTTGGTGAAAACCATATAGCAAGGGAAAAGCAGGACTGATAACAAATTCAGTTACCGTTTTTCTCTTCTAAATAGTATTATTTCCTAATTATCTTACGTCTTTCCTTCATAAAGGCTGCTTAGCTTAGTGTAGGAGGTAGGAGTACACTAAGAATACAGTCTTGGATTCCAACCAGGTTCCCCCCACTCATTACCTATGTGGCTTAGAATAGGGACTAAATAGTGACTTAATATCATAAAATTTAGTTTTATCATTTGCTACCTATCAGTCCTTAGAACAGCATTTTGAAGTATTGTAAGATCAGATGAAATAGTGGAAAATACTTCAAAAACTAGAAAACATTAAATTGTAATGAAATATTCTTATTATCAATGTTACTTCCCTTATTTTGAGAGAAAGCGATTTTTGCTATAGGGTGTAAGTGCTCCCTGAAGAGACAGAGAGAGAGAGAGAGAGAGAGCGAGCATGAGAAATCACTCCCCCGGGGGGGAAGATGGCCACACCACAATCCTGTCTCCTCCATTTCCTCTTGGGAATTCGGTTTTGCATGCACACATGAATTCCTCGAACCAGTGATTTGAACTGTGGGCAACTAAGTGGGAATTCAATGATGTAACCATTATTCCATCTACTGGTAAAAGATAAATTTCTGAGTATAATTTTTCTCTGATGCCTTTTGTTTTTTTAACTACTAAGTTCCAGACTTAGTCTTTGACAATTTGATACAGTTGTTCTTGGATGTGCTTCTAGAATCTAATTTTTAAACTTCCCAGATATTTTTCATTAAACCAGTTTATGAACCTCCCATTAATACCAGAAAATTTAGCTCTGGCTCAGAGACTATGTTGAGTATTTTCCTCATATATTTCCCTAAGGCTGGGATTTATCTTCTGTAATATAGAGTTCCTGAGCAGAGATTATATTTTCTCTTTTTCCCTTATAAAACTTACACAGTCTAGATCAGGAATGGGTAGTATAGTTGATTGAATTGTATGTATTGATTTTATTGAAACCCATTACAAGCATATCTGTGACACACTTGTGTAAAAAAAATTTAGAAGAATCAGTTAAAGTTCTAAAGAGAATACTTTATTGACACTGAAGAATTACCTTCCTGAATGGCACCCCCAAGGCACAGATATAGATTAAATGACCTTTTAAGGTAATGACCCTTTAGAAAGGTTATTCTTGATTCAAAGGCCAAGTCTAGACAAGCAAATCATTTTGCAGAAAATAAAATAGCTGAATCCAGCCAGTGAACTGAATATTTAGTGAACTATCCTTTAAATGAAGTAATATTCTCAGTGTTTCATTAGGGGTTTTAAACCTAGTTCAGTATTACAGAGCTACTGTGTCATGGGCCACAGATGGTTCAGCCAAACCTGTGATAGAATCCCAGCATCATGGCCTAATATTTTGTATAGCCTTTAGGAGAATTTCTACTTTCTCACTATGTTTTCTTATCTGTACAACTGAGGGGTTCATAATTAAATGAGGTAATAAGCACATATAAAAAACATGTGCCAGCACATGGTAAGTGGGATAAATGGTAGATATATTATTTTTAGACATAACTAATGCACCCAGAACTATCCATTTTATCCATTCACCTTGATGATTGGAAGAAATTAATGCAGTTGCTGAAGCAGCAGAGGAGTACATAAAACACTGGAAAAAGCTGACTTAATACATGTGATTTAATTCCA